CCTGACTTGTTTTCACATGTCTTTTTAGCAGCTTCAGAAGCCAATTTAGAGCATTCAGTATTCAGTGAGGGGCAGGGAGAGAATTCTAATGCATGCCTAGTGCTATGGCACCTCATTACTGAGCTGCACACAATTTCAAACTGTAGGCTCTCAACTCCCAGCCAGCAAATCCCTGTGAAACACCAGCCCTGGTATTACCTGAACAGAGCTCTTCCAAATGCATAGCACCCGCCCTTGAAGGAATGGAGATCTGAAAAAGCACTTATTCCCTTTCCACATTTCATTTCAGACATGGTCACTGAAGTGAGAAGACTTCGTCCACTTAAAATTTCCTCTTACCGTGTTTCCTCCTGCAGAAACCCAAGGCGGTGGAGGAACTTGAACTGCCTGAACATCTCCTACAAGCAGGGTCCTAACGCTGATCTTGAAAGGGAAGTGCTGAGAGATGGGCCAGAACAGTTGTTTTAATCACAGGAGACAAAAGGGGGTCTTATAACCGAAGGCTCGGGAGCCTGAATGCCAAGGAAAATGTTTCCAGGTAAGGGAAGTGAAATAGACCACGCATAGGCTAAAATAATTGCAGTACCAGTGAGCAATGTGTTCTGTGCTCCAACTGTCAACTATTGGTATAATCGGTAAAGCACAGCTTGCACGTGTGAATGGCTCATGGAATTTAAGATAAGAGAACCGCACTGAGGAGTTTTCTGATGGAGCCCTCCTAGTCAGGTTTCAGGAGTCTCAGGGCATACAGAAGAAGAAAAAAAAGATTGGGGAAGCATTGTAGACTTCATTGCCAACATTAAAGAACCACTTGTTTTTGCGATCCTGGAAGCACTCCTGGGTAGAAGTCTTCAAAAGTTCATATGGGCATCCCTCTGATGCAAATCACCCTGAGCAGTTCTTCACACATCTGTTGGCTGCCTGGAAATCATCTATGGAAAACCATCTGTCCATGTCCTCTGCCCATTTCTAAATCGAGTTATTTGGGTCCACGTTTTCTATGCACTGTAGAGATTAGTCCCTTGCTCCCTATGTCGTTGGCAGAAACATCCCTGTATGTGGGATCTCTTCTGCCTCATTTGGTAGGAACTTTTGATGAGCTATGAGCTAATTTTTAGGAAGTGCCGGTAGCTCCGTTTGTCCTCTGCTGTTTGTGTGCTTGAAGTTGTGTTCGATACTGCATTCATGCATCTACTGTCCCCATTTTTTACTGATGAACCTTATAGTTCTAGGTTTTACATTTGGGTCTCTGATCCATCTGGAGTTGGTTGCTGAAAACGACTATTAAAATTATATGGCTTGAGATATGGGTCCTTGTTTCTCTGTTCGGCAGGTGGATATCCCGTTTTGCCAGCACCAATTGTTAAAGAGGCTAGTTCTTGTCCGCTTCATAAGCTGCAGCCCTCGGTTGAGGAGCAGCTGTGGTAGGAGTATGGGTCACCTCTGGGTCAGCCCAGCATGACGGGCCAGATTTAAAAGGACGGAAAACAACAGGCACTGGCAAGGGTAGGAAGAGACTGGAACCTTTACCCACTGTTGGTAGAACTGTCAAATGATGCAACCACCGGGGAAAGTGGCATGGCGCTTCCTTAAAAAGTCAGAGATAGAAACACTATCTGCTACCTGCCCTACGGAAACAAGAGCTGTGGCACACATAGATACGTGCATATCCACATGGGTTGCAGCACTATTCGCCAGAGCAAAAGATGGACACATCTAGCTGAGAAGCAACAAAGCCCACATGGAAGAAGCACACCAGCCTGTGTGATCGTAATGTGTCTATGGGATCAGGTTATCAGGCATCTAAGACCCAGAACAAAATCATATGCAATGTAAATGGGGTAAAGGGGCAGCATGGAGTGGAGACCCAAATCCCATCTGTAGGCAATTGGGTATCCCCTTACAGAAGGGTCACAAGGAAAAGACAAGCCAGAATATAGTAGAGCACCACTGAAACATACAACTTTCCTCTAGTTCTTTAATGCTTCCTCCCCCCCACTATCATGACCTCAATTCTACTTTACAAATCGGATTAGACCAGAGCTTGCACATTGCTACAGATAAGAGCCCACAACACAGGGAATCCAGGATAGATAAACCTCTCAGGGGCAACAATGAGAATAGCGATACGAGGAAGATAAGGGGAAAGTGTGGGGACAAAGGGGGAATAGATCACAAGGATCAACATAAAACCCCCTCCCAGAGGGACGAACAACAGAAAAGTGGGTGAAAGGTGACAGAGGACGATGTAAGACATGACAATTACAATCTATAACTTATCAAGGGTTCATGAGGGAGGGAGGACAGGGGAGGAGGGGGAATGAGGAGCTGATACCAAGGGCTCAAGTAGAAAGAAAATGCTTTGAAAATGATGATGGCAACTTATGTACAAATGTGCTTGACACAATGGATGAATGTATGGATTGTGGTAAGAGATGTGAAAGTCCCCAATAAAAGTATTTAATTAAAAAAAAAGATGGACACAAATTAAGACTCATCAATGGATGGATGAATCAACAAATTATGGGTACAGACACACAATCAATCGAATATTACTCAACATTAAAGAGTATCAATGACTCATACATCTCACATGGGTAACTCCGGAGAGGACATTATATGGAATGAAATTAGTCAATTATGAAAGGGTAAATATTAGATGAAGCTACTACTATTAAAAGTCGAGAAAAGGTTTAACAGAGAAAGAAACATTCTTTGAAGGTTACCAGAAGTGGATGAGAATGGCGGGTAAATTACTACTTAGAGGGCACTCACTCACTCACTGCTATCGTGTCGATGATGACTCACAGTGACCCTCTAGGATAGGGTTGAACTGCCCCTGTGAGTTTCTAACTCTGTCGCTCTTTATGAGAGTAGAAAGCCCCCTTTCTCCTGTGGAGCCGCTGGTAGTTTAGAACTACTGACCTTGCAGTTAGCAGCCCAATATGTGTGACCACTACACCACTAGGCATAGACATGCATTAACTTGGGTGAAAGTGACGCAATATCCATTGAGAGAGGTCTGCACAAAATGACCAAGGGAAAGGTAGACATTGGGGAAAGAATAAGATTTAAAGGCAACAAAGGTCAATGACTGCATATGCAATAACAGTAATGACAGTAAATCCACTGAGTGCACTGATAGACTTGCAAGCTGAACAGATATGGGAAGGCAAATTGGACTATAGTCATATAGAGAAGTTTGACAGAAGACATTTCTCCATATGCATTTAGATGCACTGTAAATAGATTCATATCTAGAAGAGAACATACAGGAGGCACACTTAAGAAAACCTCCGAGCCAGGACTAAACAACCTGAGGGATAAGTCCCCGGGCCTGGGGCTCAGGACCATAGTTTCAGGGGACACCCCGGTCAACTACCATATCATAGTCCACAAAGCCAAGGTTCTAGTTTGAGTAGCGACTGAGGTCTTAAAAGCTTGCAAACAGCTTTGTAAAGTACAGCTACTGGCCTCTCCTCATCGGGAGCAAGGACAGGTGAAAAATAAATAAATAAAGATACACGGAAGCAATTGGTCCAAAGACCTATGTGCAAACCTCGGTCTTCACAATTCTGGGACCAGAAGAACTAGATGGTGCCCAGCCACCACTGCTGACTGCTCCAAAAGGGATCACAAAAGAAGGTCCTGGATAGAGTGGGAGACAATTGTGGAGCAAACTCAAAATCCTAAACAAGACCAGGCTTACGGGACGGATAAAGAGTGGGGAAACCCTTGGGACTAGGGCCCTTCAGACATGGAAGTGAACTCATCCCCAAGGCTTCCCTTTCATCCCAACAACAAGCCCACAAGGTGATCAATCACACGACAGAAGTACACACGCCTTGGAACAAGCTGACATACAGAGCAAAGGGGCAGCAGGTGCCTAGGGAGGAGGTGAGAAGGGTGCTGTTACATTATGGAGAATGAAATCCTTACCATGAAACAAAATGTGTATGAAATGGTGACTAGAAAGGAAATTTGCTCAGTGAGCTTTCATTCAGAGTACAATAAAAAGGGAAAAGAGAAAGTCTGCATGGGGTGGGCTGGGTGCTGGCCACGCACTGACTGAGACAGTGGTTACCAGGTAACTGGCGGCCAGATGCTGATGTTAAAACCTCAGATCTATCCACTAAGCTACAAGTAAAAAACATGGTCGGTGTAGTGAGCGTGACAATTGCTTTTTATCAAAATAACACTTTTCTTCTTAAACATTACACACATTCATTTTCCTACAAGTCCTCATGCTATAAAGCAGATAGAAATCACTTATTGATGAAAGAACTATCATTTTTCCCTATCACTTTATAATGCGTGCGTTGACGCGTGACAAGACGCCTCTGATTGTATTACTTAAATGTTTTTTTAAAAGGAGAAGGGGAGCCTCTAGGTAGGGCAGAGAACATTCTAGACTTGGGGAAGGACCCAAACCTTTCTCTGAGACTCACCCCTCTCTTCTCTCCATTGCAGGAGATGATTGTATCCTGGGGGGAGGGGGGAGAGGGGTACCAAGCATTAAATGACTTCATCAATGTGAGCACATGACAAAGTAATAAAATCTATCATGTGGCCAAAGCCGTTGCTGTGCTGGCATTTACGGCAGGAACTTTCACGTAAGTTATTTTATCCAGATCAACCTTTAAAATCAATGATCAGTAGCTCCTGAGGGGAAAACGGTTTTCTATATGGTTCAGCTGAAAGCATGAATCACCGTGCTGGGGCCTGCGCTTAGAGAACGGCCGCCTTGCCTCATTAGCAGCGCGGACTCTTGCCGGCGTCCGCCCGTGTCTTTGGAACAGACGGCGCTGCGGAACAGCTTGGGTTCCTGGAAGCATCTTCTGAGCCATGATGCACCGGGAGGCGAAAGAACAAAACGTTCCTCTGCCCTGTGACACTCTGGCTCATTCCGCCGCCAGCAGTCCCCAAGCGAGGATTATGGGTTTGATCATCCACAGGTCCCCCCTCCCACCACCCAAAGAGGAGGAAGGCGCAGCACCTACCTCTAATCGCTGTATCCGTCCCTTGAAAAACATAAAGAGGGAGGAGTTGGGATAAGCAGCTTCCTTTTTGAGGAGGATTTCCTTCGCTTCATCCAGACCTGCTCTGCTGTCACTGCCATCCAAGGCAAAGAAAGGGCGGACGACGGTGTGGTACCAGAGGAGAGCCAGGCTGAAGACAGAGGGAGGGAGACCACGCGTCAGCAAAGGGCTGCTCTCACCTCGCTCCCACTCTTCCTACCACCAGTCTGTGCTCTCCCAACATCCTCAGGCCTGCCAGGAAGCTTACGAGGACGCAGTCTCGGAGAAGAATGGAGGATCTCTCCCATTGTTAACTCTATCGCGATGTGGACAACTGCAAGTTCAGCGTCACCTACAGATGCACAGACTCCTTCCATTAGGTGCGGGGAGCACAGCGTAACGGAAGCATTTTGCTGTTCTGAGCCTTTGGGACGAGCCTCAGAAAATGGAGGCCTCTGCGTCCCGCATCTTACCCATCAATGCACAAATCAGAAAACAGCAGATCGCCGTGAGAATACTTTCTCCTTCCTGAGAAGGAAAGCATTACATTTTACAGAAGAAAAATACTGTTTTCTCTTGTGTTCCCCAAAGTCAGGTGTATGCCTCAGAAGACAAGCTTTATAATCACAGGGGGTCACTGACACGAATCATATTATGCTGTGTTGAAATAAATGGGAGGACCAGATAAGGAGCCCTTTTGAGGCTACTCAAGTTAAAAACAAGCAAATTAAGACATTACTTAGACATTTATTGACTCAAATCCATTACTTTTAAAAAAGAAAAAAAAAAGCCATATTAAGCTCAGAAAACAAAAACAATTCATCAGGACCTGTTTTCATGAACAGATCAAAAGGTTTAACCAACACATCAATATTTTATGCAAATATGCGCCTCTAGGGTGGCTTTTATGAGATCACACTAATTTATAGTATTAATTCATTCCTTGCTCAGAGATAAGCAAAAATCTCATGGAGATATTGACAAAATACACACAATATGAACATGGGGAAAAAAGATAGTCTGATACAAATGACAAATCTGTGTAGTCACATTAGTCAAGGGTCATAGTGTGATTCAATGCATTTGAAAAGGCACAGATAATTTTGAAATGCAAAACTAATGGTGTATTTAATAACTATCAACTCATTAAAAGTTAGCATCTACATTTTTCAGTACGGACATGAGTCGAGAGAAAAATCACTAAGGTCTATGATAATCAGCTTACAGAAAAAGTTCATCTGTGCAGAGACAGACAAAAGACTGCTGTTTAGTAAATTGACATTACATTTAAAATTTTCAATATTTTCCAGATTGAGAAAGAAAATCAGATGACTGATAATTGATGTAAATATGGCTACCGGGTTCACCATGCGCTCTTATTTAAATATGTGCCACTTGAGTTTAGACGGAGGCATCCTGGTGGCCTCGTAGGTCACGCACTGGACTGTGAACAAGGTCAGGAGCTGGAAACAGACGCTCCGTGCAAGAACGTAAGACTTTCTACTTCCATAGAGACTGAGAGCCTCAACCTCCTGGAGGGGCAGTCCGACTCGACCCTATCGGGCCCTGTGCATCAGAATCGACTCAAGGACAGCGAGTTTTCATTTGTTTTGGTCACACTCAACAGTCACATGGCTCAATTGAACTGAAAAGGCACAAGATATACCAGCTACCTAGGAAAGACCCATCGACTCCCAAGAATCATCACGGAGGCAGTACTCAACATGAGGATTCTTTCTAAGAATAAAAACTCCAGAATCACTTATTCAAAAAGTATCTCCCTCACACCCTGAAATCATGATGAGTAAATCTCCCCATGGTGAAAGTCACAAAACCACTTATCAAATTATTAGTGGAATAAAATACGACCGTAGGACTCGAACAACTTCCAGCATCTTGTTCTCTCAAGTCTGCTTCTAAGCACCACCACCACCACCAAACACAGTGGTCAGCGTGTCGTGAAAAGACACCAGGCATGGCGTCATGTTACCTGTAGTTTCCTTTACAGTCTTTGATGGTAGTTTACTTACTTTCAACACTATATTATCTACCAAAGCATTGCAATATAGCTACTCACGTAGCTAAAGGGGCCTTCATGTCCTTACTTTCGCTTGCATACATCAGTGAAGAAAGGCCCTGTAGGCGGTCTCCAGGAAAACCCAGCAGGTTGATGATTTTGAGCAGGTTTGGGGGTACCATGGATATGCAAAGGTGAAAAAGGCCATATCCAAAGCTAACAGCACCTTTCAGTCTGTTTAGAGACTCCTCAGACACCCCTTCAGCCACAATGTGATTATCATTTGCAGCATCAGAAGGTAAGGGTTCTTCAGTGAGCTTCTTCTGATACAGCTCCTGAAGGGCATTGATGTCCAGATAGCATTTATTGTAAATCTTCCAGGCTTTCCTGAGGATCCAGCCACCTTTTATATATGCTGGAAAGAGAAGGGAAGAGAAACATTTAAAACAAGCTTTCTGAATCATTTCTTTTGGGGAGGGGCGGGGGGGG